CCGGCTTTAGGACAATGCCATGAAAGGGGCGCGGCAGCCACATTTGGAGAGTTTGTGTACCAGTGTGCCAGACTTTAAAAATAGCCATCAAAATAACTGATATTTCATCATAAATTAGACAGCTGTTGCGCCAAAGGTAGTATATACCATCATATCTATGCCTATAGTTCAGCGTGCAAAGCTCAAGCTAGCATGATGTTGGCCCATTAAGTCATTTGTTAATACCAACAGTCTTGCACCAAACTTGACACGAGCTGCCATCCGCATCTTCGCAACTTTTCTGATATTCTCCACAACCCCTATGATCCTTTTAGGAGTGCGCGTCACTCGCTTACTACATCAGCGCGGAAAAACGCCGCTCTGCCTTTGGCTAATCAGGCTGATTGGAGGTGTCCTTTGGCTCACCTGGGGGCTTCCAATCCTATTAGGCCAACCGTCCTGAGCCGAACGCACCCAGCAGCCGCTCGTGTTTGATCACTGGTGCTTAGAGCCCACACTTGTCCTCTTATGTTGGTGTTAAGGCAGGAGGGAGGGGAACGGTAGGGTGGGGTTGAGCTAAGGATGGCGGGGAGGTGGGGGTTCAAATGTGATCTCCTTAACTCTCCAGGGGGGCAGAGGGTAGTTCGGTGCCCCACCTCCTTCGCTGACACCCAACCGGAGCGGGGCTTTAAACTTCTGATATCAGCTGAAAGGCGTAACACTGCAAGTTGTTTCCAAGGAATGTGATAAATGGAGGAAAGGCAATACTGTGGCAAGGAGAAAAATATGCCTGCCTTTCATCCAGCCATGCAAATGCCTTCATCCATACACATATATAGATACATATGTATAGATAGATACCTGTGTGTGTGTATATATATACACACACACAAAGAGAGAGAAAGATAGAGAGATTTAAAATATGTTTCATTACTGTTGTAATCTGATTTATGACTTACTGGCTCATGTTTTCACCACACTTGTTTGCTGGTTGTCTTGGTGAGCGCTTAAAAGACTGCACGTCCAAGTGTTTTAATAAGTCAACGACCCCAATTGAAGTCGATAAACTATTTTATACTACTTCACGGTTCAGTTACTTTTATTTTAGCGTAAACCTAATCCATAACACCAACACTTTTATGAATAGTGAATCTGATATTGCTTATTGTAAAATAGATTCATTTGTTATTTGTGTTTATTAAAAATACAAAGGAAGACGGTATTGAAAAATAGGGGAGGGGGGCATTAAATTTTTTTAAATGTATTTATTTATTTTTAAAAAGTTTAGCCCATCTGTAGTGTAGCACCTACCCACCCGCCTGCTCCTACATCTAACCTTTCTGTACCAACTCACCCACCGATCATCCATCCATCCAACCAAAAGTCCAACCATCACCAGTCCATCATTTTTTTATTCAAGTTGCCCTACCTATTGTCTGTCCACCCATCTAATGTAGTTATACCTCCCAATTTGCTCACACACACCCCCTCCCCATCTCCATCCTCATCACCTCCATTGAGGCATCTGTATTTCGTCCTCCTGTCGATCTCGCTTTACAGTCAGCACACAAAACCGAACCACCAGAGTGCTCATCTCTTCTCCAAATTCTCCACCGTGTGCTCCACTCATCACTTTGTCTCTTTACCTTCCCCCTCACGGCTATTATTTTATTCATCTCACTGCAAGGCCATCACACCATAATTCTCTGTTGTGGCGCTCCCCTCTTTACTTCTGCTCCTCCTTATATCCACCGCCTCCTCCTTTTTCATCTGGCCAAGAGTGTCCAGGAAGAGCCATGTATTTTCAAAGTGGACTGGATGGGAAATCGAAGCCGGGCTTCTGTGTTTATCAAGCCCGAGCTCCATCACCTTACTCCTACTTCTGTCTGGAGGCTCCGACAAATTGGTGATGGCGCCAACAAGCGTGGAGCACCTGTGCTCCTTTTTTTTGGGGGGGGGGGTGTACACGTCCACACACACACACACACACACACACACAGAGCAGAGCACCTTGCCCCTGTTTAGTTTCATTACAGGTGTCAGGTGAGGAGGTGGAGGTAGGACTGCTGTCTAAAGTCACCCCCCACAAAACCTCCCGCCCAACACACACGCGCACCATCATTTCCACCATGCCGACACCTTGGCTAACAAGACCTGTGAACCGCAGTGACAGAGCTCCGAGGCTTGTCAGAGTTCCACTCATTTAATGCCAATACGTTGGCCCCGGCACCTCCCCAAAAGGATTTCGATATGCACAGAAAGACACAATCGGTTCCGCAGCCTCTGCGAGACTGCTACTCCTTCGAGTTAATTCGATTATAATAATATACATTTGCTGAAATGATTCAAGTCATTCTGTTTCTCTGAAATGTGTGCTGCATTATTCCTGGTACAGGTATTGAGTGTTTCTGAGTCATTAAATGTAGTCTTGTATGGATTGCTAGCACTGCGCGCAACGCCAAGAGCTCAAATACTTTTTCCCCCCCAGTGCACTCTCGTTTTTTCACCGCTGCAGTCATGTACAGGTAAGTAGAGTAAAATGGAGCACCGATGCGGGTGAGAGCCCTAAACAGCCTTGATTCCCTGGAAATGAAGTGCACAAACAATGCCCGGCTATTGTGCCTAAGCGCCTACAATGATGCCATTTAAGAGAGTATTGATCCGCCGGTGCAGGGTCAATCACTGGATCAATGTTCTGTGTGTCGGTCAGCTCGAGGGCTCGTTGACTGTGTGAGTGAATGGATTGATGAATGGCTGGATGGACTGACAGAGAGACTGAGTAGTCCAAGGTTGGATTTGTGGATCAGCCGATCGAGAGGAACACCCGTGTCAGATCTATATAAACATGAACTTCTGAGGTGCTGAAGGTCTCAATCATCTGCCCTTTTTCGTGTAAAATTGTATACCCTTCAAATGGATGCTTGGCATTTTCCCCTGAACAACAAAATCCGTATTCGAGGTCATAAAACAATCTATGTCTTATTGAGCCGGCTCTTTGTAAAATACAGTAACAGGACTGATCGTTGAGCACATTTTGTGGTTGGAGGTTGTTTCAAGGTCACACTTTTCACCACAGAATACTGTTTAAATTGGCTTGTGTTAAACAGAGGGCAGCGCGGTCATAGACGGTGCACTGCACATAAATATAAATGCAGTGCATGTTTTTGTTGCCATTTTTCACCGGCTGAACTCAAAGATCTAAAACTTTGTTGCTATATCACGGAAGACCTAATTCTCTCAAATTTTATTCACTACTCTGTCTACATCTGTTTTACTGAGCACTTCTCCTTTGCCGCGATAGTCCATCCACCTCACAGGTCTGGCATATCAAGATGCTGACTACACAGCATGATTGTTGCACTTGGAGTTCGGCTCAAGAAAATGCGGGAATAAAAACAAGTGTTGCATTGATATTTTTGTTCAATGTACATAGACGGCCCCTCCCAAAAATGCTGAGAATAGCATCCGTCCATTTGTGCTACGCTATATTGCCAATATGTAGATAGATAAATGGTGAGAGTTGTTGCTTCTCAGAAGATTTGATGCTGGTGGAAATCTGCATTGTTGGGATCTCAAAGAAATAGTCTCGGTAGTAAGTCATGGAAATTGAAGCAATCCGATCTAGGATGAAAGTATTTCCTTTATCATATCCGCAATTTAATATCAGTTGTAATTTAACTTTCATAATTGAGTCAAACATAGTTCACCATAACTTGTGTACTTGAACTTGGGTTCTTATTTGCCGTGCCTTCACCCGTCTGTGGTGGCATCACGAAAAGCATTTGGTTTTTATCATTTAGCTGCGCACTGAAGTCTGACAAGATTTATTGACGTCTCTTATGATTTCCTACACTTTCACAATATACGCATACCGCTTGCGGGAATTCACACATGACTGCAGTTGAAAAATCTGGATTTTTTTTCCCCTCAATTTAAAAGGAATGGTTTCCCCCCAAAACGTTTAGCTAGAATGGAGTCTTGACCTTTCATGCCGTGGGAAACTGTAAGGGAGCGATGCAATCAAATCATTTTTTTGTTGTTGTCATTAGCACATTCCATTGGGAATATTCTCCTTATTTGTTTACCTTAGACTTGATTGACCTAGCTTCTGGCAATGCGACACCAACAGTATAACACAATGCAACTGAAAAGAGGTGTCTCTCCTTTCTCATTCCTCCATTTGAGACGTACAGAAAAACACACACGCACTCACATGAAGCGGTGATCATCGGGGGAACGGCTGAGGTCATGCCTCGTGACGACGCGAGTACAGGGAAAGAGCTCATTTCATATTCTGTGAGAGATGTCAATTGTGCCCTCAGTGTATTTCTATGGAAAAATTTGTAAATAGAGCCTTTGTAAATAGCTCCTCACTCTGCCAATCACCCTGTCTGCTCGCTGCGCCGCAGCATTAAAAATTGATCCTGAGCCACACTAGGGTGAAATGCTAACATTGCTGCCAAATGACTGATTAAAAAGGAAAACCTTTAATCTTTGCTTAAAAGTATCTTCCGCCTTGGCATGCCTTTCCCCTGTGCTTCTCTATCTTCCAAGACTGCAAGGCGGAGGGAGGGGGGGGTCGTGGTTGGGGGGGCTGGGAGTTATGGCGGGGGATAGGGGCATGTTTCCAATGAATAGTATATAATAGTATATAATAATTCCAATAAATATTAAATGTCAACATTTCGTCAACGAATATTTGCGTCATAGCCTGCGACACACCTTTCTATCACCAGGGAGGGAATGTCAGTCAGGGGGGTGTTGTAAAAACAAAAACCCAGCTGCCTTTCATGAACCATTCACCGAGAGCACTTGCTAAGAATGGGAATCTGGGCGGCCAAGAGAAGCATTTTTAAACGGTACACGTGAGCTACGATAGTTTGCACGCTGCGAAAGTGCGTCCCGTGCCTCGTTCATCTTAGCTCTCAGCTGCCAGGACGGGAGGGGGGGGGGGGGGGGGGGTGGGGGTGGGGGGGGTTGGGAGTTATGGCGGGGAATAGGGTCATGCTTCATGTAGAGTCAGCGATGTACAGTGATACGGCTCCAGAGGTGAGGGATTAAACTAAGAGCAGATTTCGGAAGCAACGCGCTCGGCTCTCTTTAGGAATTTAACCCCAAGCCAAAGGGTTAAAATCACATTTGAGCATCCCGTCAAAGGAGGCAAATGTGTTGGCGCGGCTGCTAATGGTGCACAAAAAAATTCCATGCGAGAAATAGCTGGATCATGTTGACAATGCGGCATGAAATACAGTTTGCCATGCCTCAGGTTTGCTTAGAGACTGTCTCTGAATGCTCGATTCACTCACAAAAAGACAGCATTTCCCCATTATGACTGCCCTTTTTTAATGCTTGTGAAAATATCCCCTTGAGGAACAGGAATTAAACCATATGTTATCCCTATTTGTAACTACTGTACAATGTTTCCTGATATCAAGTTCTTTACAGTTATTATTAAGCTTAAAAATGTACCAACTCCCAAGGGATAATCTCAAAACTTCAACTGGCTGTGTTTTCTGCTTTATTTCTGTGTGTTAGCATGTTACTAGCACCGTTTTTAAAATTCCTTTGCCAGTTTTTACAAAACGTTAAGGAGAGGGTTTGCTCTGAAAGAATCTGATTCTCTGGGACAGCAGATCCATTGTGAATCTTTAAAAGACACAAAAACAACAAACGTCCCCTGATTCTTCGTCTAAATTGCGATCGTCACATATCTTCCGTTAGCCACCACAACATACGGCAGCACTTCACATCTATTACATTTGAATCCGCGGGCTTCGACACAGTAAAAGATTGTTGAAACTGACTTGGTGCGTTTGTGTTTCAGGCAGCAGCGTGAACAACAGAGATTGCGTTGACGCAGAAAGTGACACCGACTTTGGAGACCGCGTCAGCAATTCCCTGTTGCCAGAGAAAGATGAAGCAGCAGCCAAGGTAAGATAAAACACACCTACCTTATCTTGCGCGATATTCCGTATTCACGCTCCTTGGACTTGATCGAGCAAAGTTGTTCTGGAAATCCCCGACTGACTTCCCAACTGATTCTCCATTTATTGTCCTTGCCCATCGAAGTTGCTTTGTTTTTGGTGTTGTTTTTTTTTTTTTGTTTTTTTTTAAATCCTGTTTGTGTTGTTTGAAGTATGTCTTAGATTTAGTTTATGATTGGTTTGTACCATCCAATGATGATACCTATAACTATGAGCAACAAGCCACACATTCAGGTACTTATAACTGTTTGTTGTTTGCGCTTCATTTGTCTGTTTTTGTGCCTGAGTCCTGCTGCCACAAAAGACACATTTGCCAAACCCAAACTACAAGTTGTCCCTTTGAAACCATCCAGGCCTGATCAGGCAGCCCATCTACAAAGACATCTGCGGCGTTTCTTTGTTCAGAGCATGAGAAGAAGCGATAGTTGTGGCAGGGCAACTCACGTCTGCTTCACCGTGACAACGTGCTTCTTCACAATGCGCTGAGCCTCTGACTGTTCCTGGCCAAAAAGAACAAACTACCCTCATGTCCGCCAAGTGCAACGGGTCCATCAAGAGAATCCTCTGGATTGGCAAAGCGTATGCGTGTCCTTCGGGGCTTACTTCAAAACTTTGCCGTTCCGATTTAAAAGATATCTTTTGTAACACAAGTCCTGGAACTTTTCCGACACTAAAGTATCACCTTTAAAGCATCAAAGTGTTGATGATGTTCTCTTCAAGGACCTCTAAACTGCGGCGCTCACCCAGGCTCCCGCACCCCCTCGTCTCTCTGTCATTCAGGTGTTTACTGTCATTTATACTCAGGGTTTTGTATAATCCTCTCACCACACCTGAGTGCTCCCCACTTCAGTGTCACTGGATTTACTCTCTCCACCCGTCTCCCTCTGTCTCGCTTCGCCTCTGCTCCGGTGCGCATCTTTTTTTTTTTTTTTTTCTTCCCCCCTCATTTGGCTTCACAGCCATTCTTATGCACACGTTGTCATTTTCTTATGTAAATAACCACGGGTAAAAAGGACACTCAACAGACATTTAAAATTTTCCACAGCGCGGCTCTGTGCGTATGTTCTCAGTCATCCCTCTCATCAGCAAGCTTGTCTGCGCAAGTGTATTTGCCTGGAGCTGTAAATGAGAGGTTGTGATTTAACTCATTGAGACAAAAGACAAAGACAACGAAATATTAATCAAACAAATGATTTGGAGAAGGTGAAGAAGAACAAGCGAGGGGGATGAGTGCAGGGGAGGGCGAACCAAAGGCGGAAATGGGCCAGTATGTATTTCTGTTCTACTTTCACTCTGCGGAGGCTTCATTAAGAAGTCTGTTTCCAGTGCATCGTGCGCTTGTGCGTGAACGTGCAGAGTTAGCGATTGAGATTGTGGCGGTGCATGTGCACGAATATGCAAATACATGTGCATGATGGTAAAATTATTTGTGTATTCAAGAGGCAGCCCTTTAATTATTTATGCCCAAAGCCCTCTAATTGGGATCAAGATTTCTAAATGGGGTCATTTATTGCGACGCCGTTGCATGAACTTTTTCTGAGCTCCACCAATGGACACCAGGCAAACACTTGGATTCTTCAGAAAAAAACGATTGAGTTGCTATGGTATTGCTGCCAATGCATCCGTGTTGCGTAGACATCGTGCATATGTTCTCTTCGAGAGCTGATGAGTCACGAGTCAGTCACTCACGTAGCCGATAGCAATGTACAGAGCCGGTTTGAGATTAAGCTCCTGAACAAGACCGATTACAGTTTTACTGTGCGCTAATTAAGGCAACTTTAATCAGCGATATTTCTTCAACTGTACACTTTCAGATATGTACAGTAAATCATGTCATGCATTGCATATGCATCATGTCGACGTGAATGCCCATCCATTCGTATATGAAGTCATTTCGATTCCTGAATAATACAAAAAAAAAAAAAAAACACAAATTGTGACACTTGAGCAAAAGGGGAATCGCCCTTCCCCTTCGGTGTGTTTCAAAGGGATTGTGTACACCTAGAGGCGGTATTCAATCACTTGGATAGGATTAAATAAATGACACTGTATGAACTATTTGGCAGGCTTGAGGTATGACTTCAACTGTGCCGCTACGATTTTCGAGGACATAAAATCAACTAACAGTAACAGGAGAAGACAGAATAGTCGAAAGCTGGCCACAGTTGGTCTTTCAGATCAAGATTATTTTCAGTGTCGTCGTCAAGATATCCCGCTGAGAATGTTTGAATGTTCACTCGTACAGTATGTGACTGTTTTCATCTAAATCCAGCAAACCCAACCAAGCGGCGTAGCGCTATGAAGTCTGCTGTCACATTGATTTACTCCTTTTCTGCTTTCTGTATGTCTTTGTCTCTTCAGGAAAAGAGAAAAATGTCTGTCGACGTCGGTCCAAAAATCTGGAAGCGATAACCCAACTTTGTCCCAAGTTGTCATGAGCCCCATTCTCCAACCCAAACCGAGACCTCCTGGGAGACGTGCGGGTTCTGCAGATGGGAACGTGTCCTCTTGTCACGGTTCGCGTGTGAGATTGCACTCTGGCCTCGAATCTCTGCCAGTCGAGGACGCTCTTTCTCCACCTTCCTTTCAGCTCTGCCCAATGCGCAGAACTTTCTCTTGCGACGGCCCCAAAGAATCGATGAGTCATGTTAAAATCAATTCTAGGTTTCCAACAATGCCAAAACATAATGAAGTCTTCTATGGGTGCTTATTGTGTGGAGCTGACTGCGTTCTCTACAAAAACCTGACAATTTCGCCCTGTGGGCAATCACCGAGCCACAGCGGCGAGGACAAACTCTCTTCTCACAAGAAAAAAAGGAAAGGAAAAAAAAAAACCTTGAACAGAACCAGATTCGGCGTAGGCAGCCATCCAGTAGTCAATCTGGAAAAAATATCATGTTTTAACTTTGAAGCTTCACAGTATGTCAAATTGCATGTGCTATTTGAAATCAAGATATACGGCCTGCGTTCCAATAACCGTCTCAACAGCACCACCGGTACAGAAGCCGCTCGGATAATATTAGCGAATCGCGCACTAAAATGACAAAATGGGGGACGGCAACCTGAAAAAAGAATCGCCCGGCTCCCGCTGATGTGGCAAATGGTGCACGCCGCTTATGACCAACATCCCAGTCATGACTCGTGACCTCTGACCTCATCAGAAAACAGACTTCAAGCTGTCTGCGGGAGCCGCACGGTGTGAAACTGACCACACTTGAGATGACTGATTTCGCCCTCCTTTCAATTGAAGTGCGCTGATGACATTGTCATGCTTACAGTATGCTGTTTACGAAAAAACACGTGCAAGCCCCCGATCTCAGAGACCCCCCCCCCCC